TACTTTGAGCCGAAAGGCGAGCATTCAGACCAGATAGAGCAAGACGAAGAATCACATCTTCCATGTTGCAGGGAGGAGATGAAGGCGAGCCAATGTTGTCAGATGAACAGACATGCCCCGAAACACGTTCGATGAATTTTACTGAAAGAGCATGCATGGTAAGATGAACAGGTGGTGTGCGCGCAGGTTGGTCCTTTCGCAACTGCTTCTCAGACGGATCTTTTTCAGCCGTTCCAAGAGCATGAGACAGCTTTTGTCCTATCTTGATTATAAGCCAACCAATTGCAATATCGAAATGTACAAAGGCAGAGAATATTTCCACGGCAATTTCAGGTAGTTTAGTCCCAGCACCTGACTGAGCCCGTGGCTCAACAGAGCCTCTTCCGAACCTCGTAGATTTGTAAGCTCTAGAGGCAAGTAGACTTTCTTCAGGTGCAGAGTCCCCGAAGCTAGCCGTGGATTCATTTAGGTCACTGTCTATGTTCTCTTTTTGTGGGATAGGCGACGGCTCGGCTGACCCTTCTGTGTCGGAATCAGGAGGCGAGAACCACAGCAAAATCTTGTCAATAGTCAATACCGACTTCCTCATTTCATTGCTTCTGTGCAACCCAGAAGATGATGGGGTTGAGGGTCTGTCCTTGTGTAATGTCCGAGATTGGGCTTGATCGTCAAAGTCATGCTGGTTGGTTATTGTGTCTTCTGATGGGGCTGTGTATCTTGAATTCGCTTCATCTTGAACTTGGGTGGACTGTGCCGGATCAATAGGTGCAATGTGTTTAGATCGGTCATCGAAGGCACTTCGGGATTTTGATCCATCATCAAACGAGCCCCATGCGCCTGGCATGTGGGGCATGAAGCTGTTACTCGCATCCTGGCTGATGGCACTCATGTAAAGACTTTGCGCTTCATCGTGGGAGAAAAGCTTGGACTCGTCGAGATCGGCAATTGGGGTTTCTTCTCGGGAAACCGTGCTGTCAGGCTCTGAGCGTGGAGGAGATGTACTGGAAGGATGGGACGATACGCTCAATTGTGATCTTTCATTAATTTCATTTTCGTCGTAATCATTGTAATGCTGTGGGGGTTGCGTGATTTCGTCAATTTGAGAGCCGATTTGGCTACGATGTGCGTCGTAAGATTTGGACATATGATGGCTGTCAGAAGTGAGTAAAGGCCCCTCAGGGAATTCGGCCTGTGAGCTCTGATACAAGCTGTGCGGGCCACCAGAAAAGTGGTTTCTCCATTCACTCCCAGTCCGTTGGTCATCCTGAGGATGTATTACTGGTGACTGCTCATCATCAAAATCATCGAATTGGGTGTCAATGACTGAGTCAAGATACCCCGGGTTGTCTTGGAAGGGGTCATCTCCAAATATTTGAGAATCCTCCAGATATCCACCACGGTGACTACCTGACTCAGAGTCGGCGTCTGAGAATCGACCATCGCGGGAAAAGGTAGAAGCCTCTAAACTGTCTGCGGTGGTACTCAAATGACCGAAAGCTTGCGGCGGCTCAAAAATAGTTGATTGGGTCATAGAAAGGGGTTCTTCGACAGAGCGATCCAGTGGGGATGGTGATGGCGCTCTGCTTGACAACTGGCTCCCTTTTGACCGCATAGTCGTCGACGGAGATGCAGGGGCGGCAAAGCGAGAGTAGTTCGAGAACACCGATGGGTCAGAAACCAAACCAACATTGATATCGACAATTGAGATGAGCCGCTTCCCTTGTCGGAAAGGAAGACCATCTTCCGGGCCAACGGTTTTCTCAGATACCCCGTGTACATCGATTTCGCCGACGCTCAACAGACCTGCGACAAGGTCCGGCTTATGTTCAGGTTGCCGTTTTGACATTCCGTCTTGCTTCAACTCCATGTCCACGCGCACAACTGCATCTTTTATCTTGAGTTGGAATCGATCCACAACGCCTTTCAAGAATCCGGCCACAAAGCTCGGCAGTGATAGAGTCTCACTCCCAAGACCGAGCTCGTCATTGTCATCAACAGACCAGGCTAACGGGTCGTGGGGCAGGACCTGCGACTGTGACGATATTGCGGCTTGCAGCTCTTCCCTTTCCTCCTTTGGCTCAGACTCAAGGAATGACTCCGCAAGATCAGACGGTGTGGGCACCGCCGAATAGTCATTTTCGCCTTTCCCTTTTCCATGTTGTGCCTTTTTCGGTTCCTCTGACAATAACCGAATATGTACTTCGATGCCGTTTGCCTCGCACAGAATACCGCTATTGTGGAAATCGGCAGGAAGTGTGATTCGAAGAAGCTGAACTCGGGCGCTGAGCAGCTCGCACGACGGAGGGAGATTAAGTAGAGTCGATAATTTCTATTCCGCGATGTAAATAGTCAGCCCGCACTGCTCCATGGGTCGCGTTTTGATGATCACGAAAGGCCGCCCCGCCCGCGGAGGGTCACTGCATCCACTCACGTCTAATTTGAGGCCAATATCCCTCAACTCGATGGTAGACCGTTGTCCCCAGCGGATGCCTAGGTTATCTGGATCCAAGGCCTCTGTGTCGACCAGGCCCAGACGAGATAGGGCATATTTGAGGAGCCTCTTCTGGAAGAACGATGGCATAAAGTATGACGCCATCGTGACTGAGAGCCAGGATAGGGCTCATTTATTTGCGGACTCGTATCATCGAAAATAGCTCGTAAACAATAAAGCAGCCAGCTCCGACAAAGCGGAGTGGATGAGTCGTAAAGGGGGGAATGTTCAACAATGACGTTCCGGCACCTGATAAAGGCGATAAGTGACCCGAGTCAGGCGCCGACGTGCCAACTCACCGATTGACACCAAATTTGACCAATTATCTTCGTATTGACTTGTGATATGTTTCAAATTACTTCAATAATTACAAAAATTGGCTTATACTAGTTGGACTATTGCCAAAATGGCTTTCGTAATATCATATCTGTTTCTAGCCTACTATGTAGGTATGTGACTGGTAGATTGTGATCAACATCAGATCATCAATCATCCCCAGCATCGAATTCAGCAAACTCCAGCACAATCCACTCGCAGAATTTCTCGAAATCAGAACCGAAATCCCGTAGACGATCAGATTTCAATCCCTTCCCCATTACCCCATTTTGAATGCCGGCTTTCCAGTCGGCGGTCGATTCATCTTCATAGCAGCTCCACCGAATGGAGTTCTGGGCCATCATTGATAGGCCGACCAAATCCACATTTTCGAGTCCCTGCAAAGCCTGCCAGAAATCGTGCGTCAATCCATTCCTTCCGTGGCCAAGAATTGCGGGGTCGTCGTTGCACAGCGAAACGGGGACGCCTCTGGACAATAGCGCGGGCAAAGGGTGAGATTTGATGGAGCTAGCAAGGCGGAGCACTTCGTTCGAGATTGGGCAACATTCAACGAGGATCTTCTTCTCTTTGACTAGATCAATGAGCAGAGGATGCTTGTAAAGCGAGAACCCATGCCCGATTCGGCGAGTGCCAAGAAGGATGGCGTCGAATAGGTTGTGATCTGTCGCGTCGCCATCGCCAAGACATTCTCCAGCGTGGAAAAAGAAGGGAATATCGACCTCTTCTTCTGCACATTGCTTTCGGAACCAAAATAGCACCGGGACAAGGTCGACTAGCGGCCTGCCGTTATCCTCTTGGCCAACAAGATCAAACCCACTGATTAAAGTGGGGAACTCCTGCTTCGTTTCGATGCACTGCTTCATGCTATTGACAATCGCCTCATTAGAGAACCACCTGAGCGTAGTCCAAATAATGCGAGCATCGTAGAAATCCTTCCCTTCATCCGTCTGCTTGAACTGAGCAATGCCATCTTCCACCAAACGACACCACTCGAAGTAATCTTCTTCGGGTTTGTCGTTTCCTTCTTTCCGAAATTCGAAAACAAATGCAATGCGGAACTCCACATATCGAATTCCATCCTGAGCAAGCTGTCCCAGCAACCGGCGGAAACAGGCACGGAAGATAGGCTCGTACATCAAAAGAGAGTCGACAATGGGGAATGTATTTGTGAAGATAGACCAAATTGCGTCTACTCCGTGGTGATGATGATACGAATGCTCTGGCGCAAGAACACATCGAGTGTTCAACCATTCCCGGAAGCCCTTCTCTCCCCCATTGGGGTAAGAGGCGGCGGCCTTCTGGATCGAGATCAACGACGAGGCCTCGTATGTCTCCGACCAAATACTTGGCTTGTCCTCGGACACTTCTAGAGGCTGCGTGGAATACCGGAAATACACGGGCGCTTCTTCGTAATCCTTAGCTGTGAGCAACGGTTTCGGTGCGAACATGTGGATGCCGGGTGTGGAGAATGCCTGATCAATGAGGAATTCAATGTCGAACATGGCGTCCATGTGGGCGTGTAGGAGGGACCCCTTTGGCATCTTTTCCACGATTTTCCATAGTTTGGTTTTCTCCATGCGGCCTTTGGCCAGATTGAACATGACACCGGGGTAGAGGATTTCATCTACTTGGTGGGCGATGGTCTCATCTAATCCACTTGTCCACACTTCGTTCTGTTCCTGAGCTCGGATCTGCGACACGATCTTCGCCGCCCGGGCGGCGATGGGGGATAAAGATTTGCGCAGATTTGCATCTATAAAATAAAAAAAGTCAGAGATGCGGGTTTTGTACTTGACGTGGGTGGAAAATACCATGACGTCGCTTTTGCTCTTCCATAATCAAAGCATCGCGTCCTTTTAGATATTGTTGGATGAAGGGATCCCCAACCTGAGGAATACCCTCCTCTAATTCCCATTCATTCTCTGTCGCCATTGTCGGAAATTCCAAAATGTTGTAGAGTCGAGGATTGTCGGGAGGGGAAAGATCAGGCCTCTCCCCGCCTTAATCCGTTTTCGTCTTGGTTGCCTACAACATACCTGGTATTCTATCTATTTTCTTTGATTGGCGCAAACTCGAAACGGTTACGATGTAACATGCGGATGAGATAATTAATTTACCCGCATAAGAGATATAACTTTGAATATATAGTCCCCTGCTATGCTCATAATCGAGGCTAAATGACATATTCTTTCAAGTTTTCTTTTCTCTTTTTGCTATGTTCAGAATGTTTCAACACGTAACCCCAGCAAGCTGGTGTGATCCATCTCGAATGCCACTCCCCCATAGGCACAAACTGAACGCCCACCAACTCCAGCACTTCCGCATCACCATCTGGTCCTGGGATTAGCGCACTGTAACTTGGACCATTCCAGTGTATCAACCCAGTGGAATACATGCGCCATACATCCCAAATAAAAACACCTAGTCTCCGATATGGTTGAATTCTTAGCATGGTGAAATTAGGATTTGGCCCATTATACGCTAGCATCCGAGACCGATCCTTGTACCACCCCAGATGAGGGACTGTCCGGCCACAGCCTCTCACATCAAGAATCCACATGTCTGTCACTATACCATCTGAAGGTATCGGCGGCAAAGGCCAAACTGCGATATCCATGCTCCCTTCGAGATCAAAGGAGTGGAAAAGTGGCGGTGGTGTCTCCGATGGATACCACCAGACTCCTTGTATAGACTCCTCGTGTTCACTGAGATATGGGTAGGAGTAGATTGGACTTAAGCCCAAGTCGGATAGTACTGCAGCGACGGTGGAAATGACTTCGGCAGTCAGGTCTTCGATCTCGTTCCATGTGAGGTGTTCTTTGACTTTTTTCATGGACTCTTCGGGCCAATTCTGACGAGATGCGTAGTTATGCAGGTCGGAGTAGTGTCTCAAATGCCACAGAGCCCAGTACATATTTGACTCCTCGACCCAAGAGAAGGGTTTGGCTGCCTTTTGGGCACGAATTAGCCCAGACAAACGTCCTGCCGGTAAGGCACTGACAACGGAAATGAAGTTCTGCTGCATTGATGATAGACATTTACACGCAAGGCGTTGAATCTGCGCAGAAATCTGCATCATCTGCAACAGTTCTGTCCCATCGCTATGGATACGGGGCTGGCCGTGAACGCTCCCTGTGCATTGTATGTATTCCTCAACACTGTGAAACTTGGATGAAGGGCTGTGGAGGAGTCGCACTTTCTGAATGATATATTGAATAGGGGCAGCTGAGGATATTGAGTTCGATGCCACCAGCTCTTGAAATAATAGACCTGGTCGATCATAGAAGGTGGCGTGCACTCGTGGGCGTTCACCAAATTGTTATCGTCAAATTCATACGCAAAAACTTGAGGCACTATCAAGTTGGAATGTTCCTTCATAAATTGCATTGTTGCAATTTCGTTTTCAATGTTGTGCTACTATTAAGGGAGGAAGTGTTCCTTCTGATATAAACCCGGGCCGCCTAGCGAGTCTTTTCGGAGAATTCTAGTAAACGGACAATATTGTTGAGTCCACTTACAACCTGGTCCAAGGCCACGCACTTTAAATGGCCAGAAAGACCTAAAGCGATTCGACAGAGCTTATTCCATTAAGTTCGATAGAAACAATCGGCGGTTTAGCTGTCACTATTTTGTAGGAAACCCTGGACGGCAGTCCAAGAGGTTGAGTTGGTAGACATAACTACTCAAACAGAAGGCAGTTGACGGAGTCAAGGTGGGACCAAAGCCTGCTGGGAATTGAGAGGATATAGTTTTTCTCGTAGGCGTTCGTAGGAGGACGAAAAGAAAAGAGAACGGAAAGCCGAAAGATGACTAGCAGTGTGATTCATCGGCATATACTTATTTGGTACATGCACACCCTATGATTTGGGGAAATGGAGACCAGGAGAAACACAAGGTCTTCATATTCTAGGTGTAAACAAAAGACTTTGTTATCAAGCGGGAAATGTCTCTTCCGGTAGGCTCTGTTGATACATACATGTGCCTATGTAAGGTACCTCACCTACGATGTCGACGGTTCAGTATCGTTGCGAAGTCAATCTTCTACTTTATAGAGTGCGTATAAAGGACAGACACTCGCAACACCCCAAGGGGTTTTAAGGTGGAGGCAACGAGGCCAAGGGATGATCCCAAGATATCGCCGACGCGTTAAGTTATGCCACGAGGCTTGAACTGATTCTCTCATTTGGCGAGACTTGACAAGATGTTCCCGTATCTATATCGTACATATCGTGTAGAATTGACTCGATAGCCAGATGGTTGAATTGTCTCCACAATTCGGCCTTGCTACGAATGCCTTGTATCACGCTGATCCAAGACATGGATCAAATAGATTTGATTACGCGTTTATTTTATCAGGAAAGAAGATATCAATCAGTATCACCAATAAAAAGTAATCAAATCCGAAAGCTTGGCAAATCTGATAACTTTCCAGGATTTTTGCGCGTTTTCCGGTTGATGGAGCCAAGGGTCCATAATAAATTTCCAAGCAGCCACGCAAAGCTTGGACTGACGTCGAAGCGAGTGATTCCGATGGGGCCCCAATAAAAAGTAACTGGACACGGTAAGGATCTCTAAGCCACTGGCGATCTGATTAGATCTTTGTCGCCGGCCGACGCCGGGTTGTCCTGGCCCCAGTGGAGTTAGGGTCCACAGGTTGAACGAATATGTTTGGACTACATTATATTTATACCACGTATGTTGTAACACTTTTGATATAGGAGGAAAGGATTTTCGTTTTGACCCGCAGATGAGCGTTCAAAACACTGTTGGTCAATGTGCCGACCTCGCTGTTTTATGTGGGAATTCCGTGTCTTTTGTCTTATATTTTACTTGCCTTTCCCTCGCGGGGTCAAAATAACATTCGAACTTTCAACTTGTTTGAGTTTTGGAATTTTGTGTTTCCCCATTGTCATGACGCTCCGTCCATTGATACAAAGGGCCCGGTCGGTCTTTCATCGAATGAAAGTTGACAATGATGAGGCAAGTTCTTCGGTCGACGTGGACAGAAACACAGTAGAGCCAGAGAAGTCAGATGGGCAAATAATCCATCCTGAAGAGGCACTTCCAAACAATGGTGCCGAGCTGCCCGGTGTGCCCTATGAAGAACTTCAGCATGGTATCCAGGAGGTTGAGGCTGTGGCTCAGACCTGGTCCAGAGCGTCCTTGATCTTTGTTTTCATCAAGTAAGTCAATTCATTTCTTTCTTCTGTACTCTTGCTAATCTTATGCTTCAATAGTATGTGGTTCCTTTACTTTACCTATGCCTGGATATCATCGGTTGATGGTAGCTTGAGCACTTATGTCGCTAGCTCTTTCCAGCAACACTCCTTATCTGGTCTTCCTACCGCTATTGCAGATGCTTTCTCCGCTGCTGTCTTCCTTCCAGTGGCCAAAATGATGGACACTTGGGGTCGAGCTGAAGGCTTCCTGGTAATGTCGATTTGCGCCACCGTAGGCCTCATTCTTATGGCCTCTTGCAATAGTTTCCCACTCTACTGCGCCGCAAATGTAAGGGAACACCCACAGACTATCAAGCAGATTCTAATGGTAAATTCAGGTGTTTTACTATATTGGCTTCGGAGGCATGCAATTCGCTGTGGATGTCATCACCGCCGATCTCTCGCAGTTGAAAAACCGAGCTCTTGCATATGCCTTCACGTCTTCTCCATATATTATTACGGCCTTTGCTGGACCAAAGGTGGCGGGTCTATTCTACGCCAATACTGGCTGGAGATGGGCCTATGGTACTTTTGCGATCATATTCCCTATCGTGGCTGCTCCATTGTTCTTCGTCCTAAAGTTCAACCTGACAAAAGCCAAAAAGGGGAATGCTGTAGTTATCAGAGAGAACAGCGGGCGATCTTTCCTTCAAAGCGTCTGGTTTTGGACTCTCGAGTTTGATTGTGAGTATTCCAAACTGCCAATTGATTCTTCTACTGAAAATAGATACTAACATCTCATATAGTAATTGGAGTTTTCATCTTTACTACAGGACTTGTCCTATTTGAGCTTCCGTTTGACATTGCTAGCGAGGCTCCCAATGGCTGGGGCACAGATTATATCATTGCCATGATTGTGGTTGGATTCTCGATGCTCTTCTTCTTTGGCTTCTACGAGAGATATATCGCTCCTACCCCTTTGCTCCCTTACTCCTTCCTCACCAACCGAACCGTCGTCGGCGCATGTCTCTTGGATGCCACGTACCAGCTTTCAAACTATTGCTGGAACAACTACTTTTCGAACTTCCTTCAGGTGGTTAATGACCTCACCATTGCCGAAGCTGGGTATATCGTCAACACATTTGACGTGGTTTCTGGTGTACTTTTATTCTTTGTTGGATGGGCAATCCGAAAGACCGGTCGCTTTAAGTGGCTCCTTTACATTTCCGTTCCTCTATACATCTTTGCCCAGGGTTTGATGATCTACTTCCGTCGTCCCGGTCAGAATATCGGGTACCAGGTTATGTGTCAAATCTTCATTTCCATTGCTGGATCAATCTTCATCATTGTGCAGCAGCTCGCTATTCTCGCTGCCGTTGATCACCAGCATGTCGCTACAGCCCTTGCCTTGCTCAATGTGGTCGGTACCATCGGAGATTCCGCAGGTCTTACAATCTCTATGGCAATCTGGAACAACACATACAAGAAGGCCCTCACGCGGTACCTGCCTGACTTGACAAACCTGGAGATGATTTATGAAGATCTCGAGACACAGTTGAAGTACGCTCCCGGTACGCCGATGAGAGAGGGCATCCAGAAAGCATATGGCTACACACAAGTTAGGATGCTTTCTGCTGGCTTGGGTGTGATGGTTCTGGCATTTGCGTGGACTATCATGATCAAGAACATCAACCTGAAGAAGGTTGCCCAGGTCAAGGGTATGGTGTTTTAAGGGATCAATGTGGAACTCAAGAAGGTTCATTGTGACACCCGTCCACCATCTGGTTTTGTGCTTTGTTTATCTGCATGTAAATACTTTGTTTCATTTGTCGCTTGGCTTTAAGATGCTCCACTTTTGTCTATACCCGTTAGATCTGCTTTTTCTTGAAATTGAAACCCGTGAAAATTATTTATACACAATGCTACTGCTGTAGACTCTTAGCCAGCCGGATAGAGTGTCGAGACTGTACTCCATACCCCCTCCAAGTTTAGACTGCATCTATTTACCGGCATAGTAGGATCAGTTCCCTTCTGCTTAACCCGGCCTATTACGTATTGACTGTTCGAATCCACACTCTTAGCGCTGACCTCGTATTGGATTAATAGTAGCCTTGAGCGGCGTCTCAATCAATAAACTCATGAGCTTTCGTAGATTGATTCACTAAAGATTTCCCTTTAAATAAGTTACTATAGACTCCCAAACTCAGACCAATCATCAGGATTGTAAATCTCGGCACAAGAGGTGGAATGAAATAAATCACCTTGTGGAATAATTTCACAGTTTTAGGCTAGGGAAGATCCGAGGCTAAACCTAAAGCTGAATGTAGTCGAAAATTCTACCAGCCACAGATAGAGCTGGAATATACAACCATATCTGTGTACTGCCCAAGAATTACACAGCCTCCGTGTGGCATACTGAGAGAAATGTATAACAACACAGCGAGAAGTACTAAGTGAATACTCATAGAGAGACGAAAATACAGAGAAGTACACTATTAGGTATCTATGCATATCTGCTCCGGGAATGTGGAGAGGAAACCAAGGTGACAGAACCCTTGTATAAATAGAATTGTTGCCAGGACGGTTCCTCAAACCGCCTCGGCCAATCTATCAACAACCTGGCCACAAAAATCTCTCATTCTCGGATGACACTCCGCCAGTAACCGTTCTTTCCTACCGAGTAGCATGCTTAGCTTCGCTGTATACCTGGCCTTGGAACCAATCGAACGAATCTGCACAAATTGAAGGATTTCGCTGACTTCGTGCCATTGGTGGCCCGCAACGGAACGAGGGAATAACTGGGGCCCATAAGCTTGGCGTAAGATCAGATAACTCGAACAGCCCCATTGAGGTCTCAAAATGAAGATCCGATCTCGGATCTATGGCCTGCTACTTGGGGGCCGAAAAGTTAGATCAAAAGATATAAATAGGGCCTCAATCCCTCTCAATGCATCTCAATTACCATCTCTCCTTCTCCAGCTCGTTTGAAACATTGAAAATCATAACCAAAATCACCATGAAGTTCTTCAACGTTGTCCTTGTGGCTACTCTTGCTGTGTTCGCCAATGCTGCTGCTGTGCCCAACCCCGAAGCTGCTTTGACCAACCCTCTTGAAAAGCGCTGCAAATCAAGTATGTTCTTATCATGATCGTGATAGCTCCGCTAGACCCCTTCGGGGTGTTAGAAATACAAAGCTAAACCTATATGTGATACAAGCTCGCAGTCTTTGCACGCTCTCTAGTCAGTGCTGCAACGGTGCGTGTGTCGGTGGTACTACTATCAACAAGTTCGTCAAGTACTGCAATTGAGAACCTTTGGCTATTTGATATGGTATGCTTTGGTGTGTCGGTGTGTCCACCCAATAATATATATTGATACTGACCATAGATTGTCATGTACAGTTGCCGCGGGGGTTATATATTTTAGCTTGTAGGGCTCTCGGGGGCGCAAGTGCAAGATAGAAAACATGCACTATTCAATTGAATGAACATATTCAGAGCTCTAGATACACCCAATGCGTACTTAATTAGATGTGCTGAGAATAATCATCTGATCTCACTGAGGTCTGTTTGCTACCACTACTTCAGATATTTTTCAAGTTTGCTTTCTTCATGGTCTTCTTCCTTTAGACATCCACCCACAGATGGCATTATCCTGACCTGCCTTTCCTAGTACATCTCTTCATACTGTGAGCACCTTGCTTGCAGTCTGTTTCTTTTATCTAACAGAATGTATTGAAAGCTTATTTGCGGCGAAGTGTCACGCTGTGACATCTTCGATCCTCGATCCCCGGGGGCCGTCACCTTGTCAGTCAGACCCATCTGTGTTCATGTTTAAGCTCCGCTGACGACTTCAATAGTTATCAAACTCCTTATCCTCCTGGAATGTGTTTTCACGCTGAACTTGCTGGATTCCACGATCATAGCACCGCGCGATTCTCTGCACAAAGCGAGATTTGCATTCAAGATACGGGCATTTCAAATACTGCCGCCACATCCTTCCTCTATCACCTGCAATCACTAGGCCTGGGCACTCGACTGTGCCTGTTTCAGCTGCCATCGTGACGACAACTACCGAAGAAAACCCGATTGTCGACTTTAAAGTCAGAGAGCACGATATGGACATGGCCAAATTGGGTCCCAAGCTACAGGGCTAGAGGGCATGGGAGATGCATATGTTCATGATGCTCGGATTCAACAATTCTATCTATGTGCAGTTGATTAAGGATGAGATCAAGATGCGTCCCGCTCCCGTTTACGAAGAACCATCTCAAGCCAGAGGTTTTTGAAGACCTGATGATACTGTCGTGTCTTTTGAGTTCCAATTTGGTGCTTGTCAGTCCGTGCGTGCTTCTGAAGCAAGTGTTTTAAAGAAAGATGTAGAAGCTTGATGGATCTGATTGACGACCTCATCAGTATGCTACAGCTAGACGTCAAGCTCGAGGATCGTGTGACATGCAAGCCTTTCGATATGGCGACTATGCAAGTTGGAAGTTTGAGGTTCACTTTCATCTTCACATTATTTCAATTGTATATTTCTTTCGCTTTTGTCTTTCTTTCATTTTCACCAATGTTTCATTTCTACCAGACACTTGAATGCCTTTCAATGCGTCTTCATTAATGCAAGGGTTTGATCTGCAGCTCCCAGCCACAGTTTGACAGGGTCAATCCGACAATCAACTCGTTTGATTTGATCACATAGTCATTCATCAGCTTATTTACCACTGAGCTCAGTCACACAGAATGCTCAATTACTTCTCATCTGGCCTTCAATATGGCAATCAACGTATGTCATACAATATCAGCCATGAATATTCCGATCAGGGGGACAACTTCGGCAACATGGATCCAAGAGCCTTTCCCCAACGATGTTCCCTGTTTTCTCTTGCCTATGCAAGGCATCGACTCTCAAAATACTCACAAAAAAGTTGTTCTAGGATTTGGCGAGCTGGATCCTGTCTCAGCTGGGGCGAAGTTGACCCTTACATGGGGTCTCGTTCTGTCTCAGTACACTGGGAACTATGATTGCGTTTTTGGTCTTGGTCTTGAATCGGAAATCACCAATCGTTCCGACACGCCATTCTAGTCTTGTGTTTACGACTATTAACTGCCCGGCTTTGTTAGTGTTATTAGTGGCTTTTTCGGGCTTTTACACAGGCGGCTAAGTAGTTTTTGGCGCTTATTGGGAATGATCATCTGACCTCTGTTTGGTCTGCTCCAGAAATCTCGTTTTCTTTCTAGACTAGACACCTGCAAGGGTAAGACTCATGCAGGGACTACTTTTTCCGTCTGCTTATTTCCTTGGAAGCAATACAGTATTTACCCCTAAGCCGTAGTAAAACCTATATTGTTGTCTGACATGAGCTAGCAGATCCCTGTAAGACCAATCAGTGAAGGGCATTGAGAGATATCGCCAAGACCAATCAGCAAAGCATATTGGCAGATACAGTCGAAGCCAATCAGGGTAGCGTATGAGAAAACATCGGCACATTCCGATCTTTGCTTATATTGCCAGATGTTCTTCCATTTCCCGTACGTAGTAGAAATCTCCTCAATGTAGCCAAAGACGAACTATACGAAAAAGAATCGGGAGGATGCGTTCCACGAGATCTTTCTGGTGGCGGGATTGTAGACTGTCAAGGGGCTAGCTGTATCGAAATGATCCTTCAGATGGCTTGTAGATATCAAAGATTCAAAGTAAGCATTGCAGCCACACATGGGTCGCTTTTAACACTCACCCGCTGCGAATGACTATCTTCATTCGCTCTTCTGTAGGCATAATCAGTAACTCCTTTTTTTTGGCATTGCATTCTGAGTGATTGGCTTGAGAGTTGCTCAGCCAATGCTTTCACTTATCAGTATCAATTTCCGGCAAACCCGGAAAAACTTTGAGATATATTGCGGTAGTGCCTGAGGCTCTAGTGCGGGGAGTTAGACTAGGTCTCCAAAGATAGTCGGCGTCGCCCGAGACTATATTTGCCCAGAGGTTATAGATATTTATGCCAGCAGCTGACCCACGGACATGCCATATTAGGTCTATGGTACATACCTTAGTTGGATCTGGGGTCATGTGATTACGTAACTGATATCGGCCGGCATGCAGGCCTTCCGAGAAAGGTCATAACCAACGAGCTGCTTTTTAATATATCGAAACCTTGGAGGATCTTGGAATTCCTTCTAGATCACAAGTTTTTTTTTTTTTTCATAGCCGAGATTATTGTCTTCTGATGCGCCTATCTTCTTAAAATGGACATATCATTACTGAGAGACAAACGTGTGTATCTCGGGCCTTCACTGCTTATCGTTTCGCACCCGTCTCCGGTTTTTTTTAACGCTAACTCAACACGTGCGCAAATTCAGATATCGATACTCTATAGAGTCGAGAACAACGCAGCTCACACACGTGTACGAAATACGGAGTATGCTCTGCTTAGGTTTTTGTGTTCAGCCTCCTCCCAAGCGCTTATCATGCTGGGGAAACTGGAGAGATTCTCAAATGATCCCAGCTAGCACGGAAAGACCTCGGGAGATTAAGCACACGACCCATTTTTGCTCCACACTTACCCGGTGCGGAGTGACTTTCCAGTGAGAGAAGGTTAGCTTAGACTACACCACCAATCAGTGGAGACGGCAAGGATTGCTGTGGCAAGAGAATGTTACTGTCTTATCAATTTTTGCCGTCGATGTGGTTACATGTGGCTGCAGCTGGCTCTAGCTTGGCTCTAGGCGAGACGGGACCTCCGCTGTACTCCGTCGGTCAACCCGTTCATTGGCATTTCGTGTAGCCAAACAGGACAAGAAGGGAAGACCTCCGATGCCTAGTGCATTCTAATCCTTGAACGTTCTTTATCTCCCCCGGAAAATGTAATATGCAAAATAAAAAAGGCCAGGATTCGAGAAACGCAAAAAAAGATTAATACTAAAAGGGAGATTCCTAATTAATTATCAATTCCCTGTGTTTATTATAAAGGTGCCAGTGTCCTCGCAGATCACCAAAACTCAGGCGGTCTGTGTTTCGTGGGATTTTTGAGTTTCATTGCAAATTGTAAATTTCATATACTTTCGTACCTTCCAGTCTGTGAGAAGTGGAATATGGATAAGACACAGGAGGTTGATCCTGCGGGATCGCAGGTTGTGCATCATCTAGATCCTGCATTGGATCCTGAGAATCAGCATCATCATTCTCATCATCATCATACTGCCTTTGCTGAGAAGGGACGTGAGGATGAAGTGGTCTACACCAAGGATACGCCATTCGAGAAAGGCCCTGAACCAACACCTCTCGAACAGAGCAGCAAGCACTCCGACGAAGAATCCGGCGAGAACTTCCCAGCCCAGCGCACCTGGTATCGCCGCGCGTTAAAAGTACGGAGACATGTGATCCATGCTGTGATTTGGCTTCTGTTTACCGGGTAAGTGAACTACTCTGGTTCTATGCACTTAAAGTGCTCTATACACACTATGGACTGAACTCGAGGCTTACACATACTCTTTTAGGTGGTGGATCGCTGGCCTGGTACTACACAGACATGATATCGGATGGCTCAAGCCATTCCTAATCTATCTTGCCATCACGCTGCGAATGATCTTCTTCTATGTTCCCATTACTATAGTCACAAAGCCCATGCACTGGGTCTGGGAGCATACTGCTACCCCTTTCGTACGCGTGATCCCCGAGAAGCTCAGAACACCCGCTGCCGCCGCACTATGCATCGGTGTGATTATTATCGGCGCATTTGCGTCTGAAGAGTCAACGGATAACACTCGCGCAAACCGTGCAGTCAGTCTGTTCGGAATGGTAGTCTGCATCTTCGGCCTATGGGCTACATCTAGAAACCGCAAGAAGATCATCTGGCACACGGTCATTGTCGGCATGTTGGCGCAATTCATTATTGCCCTATTCGTGCTCCGCACTACTGCAGGTTACGACATCTTCAACTTCGTTTCAGAAATCGCCCGTGATCTGCTTGGCTATGCCGGTGACGGAGTCAGCTTCTTGACCAGCGCAGACTTCCTCGCCTTTAATGACGGTTTCGCTCCAGGGAACTTCTTCCTCATCACCGTCTGCGCCGCCATCGTCTTCTTCGTCGCCTTCGTCCAGCTGTTGTACCACTGGAAGGTCCTGCAGTGGTTCATTGGAAAGTTCGCCGTCTTCTTCCACTGGAGCATGCGCGTTTCCGGTGCCGAAGCCGTCGTCGCTGCCGCATCCCCCTTCATCGGTCAGGGTGAATCAGCCATGCTGATCCGTCCCTTCATTGCTCACCTTACCATGGCCGAGCTGCACCAAATCATGTGCTCCGGCTTCGCCACCATCGCAGGAAGTGTCCTGATCGCCTATATCAGTATCGGTGTTAACCCACAGGCAATGGTCAGCGCCTGTGTCATGAGTATTCCTGCCTCACTAGCCGTCTCAAAGATGCGCTGGCCCGAAGAGGAAGAGACCCTCACTGCAGGCCGTGTCGTTGTTCCCGATGATGAGGAACACCGCGCCGCAAATTCCCTTCACGCCTTCACCAACGGAACCTGGCTCGGTCTGAAGATTGCCGCCATGATTACATCAACCCTCCTCTGTATCATCGCTCTCATCGGTCTCGTCAACGGTCTCCTCACCTGGTGGGGCCGATACCTGAACATCAACGACCCCCCACTGACCCTAGAGCTGATCGTCGGATACATCTGCTACCCTATTGCCTTCCTGCTCGGCGTCTCCCGTGACGGAGATCTGCTCTTGGTGGGCAAGCTGATTGGTACCAAGCTCGTTACCGTAAGTTCCCTATCTTCGTACCTCATATTTATCTCTTCTAACCAGCCACAGAATGAATTCGTCGCCTACGATGCCCTCCAACATAACCCCGAGTATGCAGTCCTCTCTGACCGCTCTCGCCTCATCGTTACATACGCGCTTTGTGGATTCGCCAATATCGGCTCCCTCGGTAACCAGATCGGTGTCCTGTCGCAGATCGCCCCTGGTCGGGCTAATGATGTGTCGCGTGTTGCTGTCAGCGCTATGATCACTGGAGCCATCAGTACCTTCACGAGTGCAACAGTTGCTGGCTTGTTGATCACCAACGAGAAGCAGTACTTCGCTGCTGCTTAATTCCCTGAATTCTAATATCAGCGGTGTGTTGGTTTCATAGGTTACTTGAGTATTTATTTATCGGGTTATCCAACCCTAGCCGCGTCGACTTCAAAATTATGATGACGGAATCGATTTTAATATGACATATTTTTGTTTCTTCACTTCGTCGAGGGCTGTACTGGGATATGGTCGTACAAGAATACTCGACTGCATGAATCGTCGGACTTTGTCCTTGATATCATGTAGGACTTACCACCTCTATACCCCTACGGAACTTGCTGAATTCTGCATAGACAAGGAAGTCTTCTATACATATGCGAAGGATACCAGACACGCGAGGACTGTCTAATACAATCTTGGAAGCAAAGTGTACAAGATCAAATTGATCTACAACGACACCGACAATGAATAGATCTACCGCCGCGGAGCAACGACCAGAAGAGATGAAAGGAGAAGGAACCGCCTAAGGATCTCAAGGGCAAGAGTTTCTCACGCCTGTACCTGAATGCGGAGACTCAGAGGTACTAGTAGTAACGATAGGAACAAAGATAGAAGAACGTGCATGACCAAGCAAACCAGAAACTCCCAGGCCCAAACCAGGCCCGTTATGCATTTACAGCACGATCCCAGCGTCCATAAGTGAACGACCGAGCCAACCGACGCCGATGCAGAATAAAAAAGAAAAAAAATACATCAAATCCAACGATCTATTCCTCGTCCAGGTCTTGGTGGCGTGCGAGAACATGGCGCTTGAATTCCGCCTGGTCCGAGTCCCAAAGCTCGGCGGCTTGGGCGTTCAGGGGGCTCGCACTGGGTCAATGTTAGCGCTGAAGGTATGGAGGATGTTGGCAGGTGCTTACTTGTTAGGTTCACCCAGCAAGCTTTGCAAGCTGAGCAACACACTCGAGACGTTGTAAACGGCGCTCCACTTGTCCTTGAGGATATCGAGACAGATACGGCCGGAGAAGTCGACGTTGGGGTGGTAAATTGGAGTCTTGAAGAGGACTGTTGGGGGCGAGTAGGGGTAGTTGTTGGGGAATGCGAAGGAGAGTTTCAGTGTGAGGCCCTCGTAGGGAGTCTCGGTCGGACCGGTGATGGTTGCTGTCCACGAGAGGAGATTGCCGTCTGCGTCTGGGAAGGCGGAGATACCGGGTGAAGGGGAGATCATGAGTTGCATAAGCTCAGCTTGCAGGCTGTACGGATGAAAGAAACCAGGTTAGCTATGTGTAATGTCGAGTAGCAAACGGGATCGTGGACGAACCGTTTGGTCACGCTCTGGGTGTCGCTTTTTTGACCGGAGGGGTTCAGCTTGTTGGCTTGCTGTGCCTCAGGTGCTGAGTTCTGCGTGTCTTCCATGCTGTAGTCCATTGTGGAGTGGAGGGTGAGGTGATCGAGGTTAAGAAATAGTAAGGTGAGGTCTGTGGGTTCCTGGAATGCTAGTAACAGTAGCACGAGGGTTTGGAATGACGCCGGATGCGTAACAAGGACCCACGGAGGACTTGAGGCAACGAATATTTTAAAAGGGATGAATTGGGAGAAGGTGAATTATTGAATGAAGTGAACACAAGAGAAAAAATAGAAGTTTTGTTTACTCGGCCTTTGAACACCCCGGGCAACGCGAGAACCCCGCTTAGGTGAATTTACGACCACTTCAGTGAAAGAAAATGTATTTCATATTCATCCTTGAAGATATGTATTGAAGCCTTATTTATCTAAATCCAAGAAGAATTACAATTCAAAATATAATTAAATCCTGGCAAAGTTAGTGCGATCATCGACAAATGAACTGCGGGTCTGCAGTTTCAAGGTATTAATAGCATATGTATAATAGAGTATAGGTTTGCATATTGAAGTATATAGAATAGTAGACATCCCCATAAAATGTAGTCAAGTTAGCCTCTGTTCTCGAGTTTGTGTGTCTTTATCAACAGACTACCCGATCAGGATAAAGTGGTCCGCGTCTTGTCCCGCGTTTCGCTACCCTTGCTTCGACGCGACATCGCAGCCTATCTTGTTTTCCACTCGTTATGTCTTTTTAATCTTAATTTGCTTCCTGTCTTTTCGTGTATCTCCCCGTTACATTCAATCGCACTCACTCCCTATCATTTCCCTCGAAATGCAGCATTCGCAGCTGGCCCCGCTCCCGAACGATGTGCCGTTTCGCATCGTGTCCAAGACCATCGGCCAAGGTGCCTATGCATGGTAAGAACAATATCCATCGTATGGAGGATCCATAGCTGACTCGGTTTGATCCATCTAGCATCAAAAAAGCCTGCCCGTTGGATTCTGATAATCCCGTCTTCGCCGTCAAGTACATCCACAAAGATTACGCCGCTCGACATGGGAAGATCAGCGCAAGACAATTACAACTAGAAGTCACGGTACACAGACACGTCTCGGGTCATGGGAATATTATCAGTTTCTATCAGACGGGCGAGGACGAGGTGTGGCGTTGGATCGCGATGGAGTTGGCCGAAGGCGGGGATCTTTTCGATAAGATCGAGGCCGACGAGGGTGTGGGCGAGGATGTGGCCCATGTCTATTTCTCGCAGCTTGTCAGTGCGGTGAGCTTTATGCACTCTAAGGGCGTCGGCCATCGCGATATCAAGCCCGAGAACATGCTTTTGACCGGCGACGGGAATCTCAAGATCGCGGATTTTGGTTTGGCGGCGCTGTTCGAATACAAGGGAACGCGGAAGCTCTCAACCACATTCTGTGGTAGTCCCCCATATATTGCACCCGAGGTAATTAGCAGCAGTACCCGAGGGCAGAACAAAGGTGCTGGGTATCATCCGGACCTAGTTGACATTTGGTCTTGTGGTATCGTGCTTTTCGTCCTGCTGGCTGGAAACACACCGTGGGACAGCCCGACAGACGATAGTTTCGAGTACCACGAATATGTTGCGACCAAGGCGCGGACTACCGATGAGCTCTGGAAGAAGTTACCACCCGCTACATTATCACTATTGCGTGGCATGTTGACCGTGAACCCTGAAAAGCGATTCTCGCTGGAGGATGTCCGAAGGCATCCTTGGTACACCCGTGCAAACAAATACCTCTCTACCGATGGCAGGTTGAGGGATCCAATTAATCTTGCCACTTCAATGTTTGAGTCCCTCCATATCGACTTCAGCCAAGATCCTCTTTCCCAATCGGGGAAGGGGTCGAGTCGCAGCTTTGACCCCATGGATATGGATGAAGGCGGTGCAAATGCAGGGTTCTCCTCGACTCAACCAGAGATGTTAGGCGGTGGCATGTTGATGGACTGGGACAGTCCACAAAATGGAGATGTCTTTTCTTCAACCCAGCCCTTTGGGAAGAAGTTTGCATCTCAGGATGCAGCGATGGCGGGCCATCTCGAGGATGAGCCTTCTATGTCACAGTTCTCACAGCAGCCTTCGGTGCCTGTGAGTCGAACTCAAAACGCACAAAGATTCCAGGATATTATCCCCTCGCGTTCAATGACACGTTTTTATTCTGCATGGGAGCTCAAGCTTCTCGTGCCTCTCATATGCGAGGCCTTTCACCGACTGGGGGTTCCGGTTCCGACTGTCCCTGCTATTGGCGCTGGAGATACTTCTGCCATGATTCGGGTGATTGCCAAGGATGGTAGGATGTGTCCGCTCCAAGGTAAAGTGCTCATTGAATGTGTCTCCGAGGGTTTGTTTGAAGTAGAATTCGTCAAAATCAAAGGTGATCCGCTTGAATGGCGACGTTTCTTCAAAAAGGTGGCGATACTCTGCAAAGATGCCCTCTTCAGACCGGATGAGTAGAGCTGCCTCTATGGATTGCCATCTGTTTCTTTTTTACGCTTATGTTTGCCTGCATAATTTTTCAAATGTACGAGTCATGACTGATTGATGGTGGGGGAAATTGGGCCGGACTGGAGTTTGGCTGTGGGAAAAAAAATACCTCATATCATTCAAATTTCTATTTCTATTTTTAACATGCATATAGATTCATAGATGGTTCTATATCTTCACTATGTGTTTTTCCCTTCAGTGTGTAAAATGTACTTTTTCATATGGATAACATGTGATATCAAATATTGAAGTACCTGTAATCCAAACGGTTAAAATATGTATTTTTAGTTTCTTATAGAAGATATCAGAATGTTCTCCAGAGTTGGTGGATCCCCGGAAAAGTCTCCCGAACCTGTTTTTCGTCACAAACCCATCACTGTAAATAGTTATAGCCTCAACCCATTTGTCTAGACCCTTATGTACCTGTACCCTTATGCATCCACGTGACGGTCTGGAGCGCAGATCGCGGGGAAAAGCCGATAAAAAAAAGAGTCTAGATTTTTGGTAAGAAAGAGTCCCCCGTTGACTTCCTCTCAAACTGCCATGCGGTTGATCCTTCTCCATGGATAAGCTGCCGGTAGAGATTCTGTCCAAAATCATCGACCGTAAGCTCCCCGAGCCTTCCAAAGTTCCCCGCACTGTCTCGACCGAGAACTGATAAAGCGATAGACCTCGCTCCACGAGAAAAGGTCCAACTTCAATGCATTTCAAAAAAGTTCTTTGAGATCGCCCGTGATAACAATCAATGGAAATTGCACTGCTATGATCGGTCATGGGCTGCTCGGCAGGCTGCCCGCTCCGCTGCCAGGCCCTCGGAGAGTGTTATCGCGGACGCGACTGTTTCATTGACGACCCTAGGACAGGAATCGCTGCGCGATATCATTCAACCTTCTGCCCCGCCGGTGAACGGGGATTCTGATGATACCCAGGGACTATCTGCGAGTGAGAGGGCGAGGGCAGCAGCGGAATGGGACTCGTCGGCTGAGGGGGAGCATGTGGATTGGTATTCGGAATATATTGCTCGCCACGGCCCCATATCTTTATCATGGGTTGAACGGCCCTCGGTCCGTAAGGGTGAAGGGAAACGAGGGCATTCCTATGAGGTCAAAGGTATGGGGCTGCTCAAAGACTGGAGTTCAGCTAGGCAGAACAAGATTGTTGCCCCGCTTGAAGATGGCAGCGTCTGCATCTGGGATCTAAATCACTCTCACTCAG